GTACGTCTGCCGATTCGGCCACAAGTCCACCATCATTGTATGGTGAATAGGGCGGCGGTGCCTGGTCATATGATGATGAACCAGGGTTGCTATAACCCAGCCGTGGGTCTTTTTCCATATCTCAACGGCACACCCAGTAGGTTGGAGCAACTTCCTATTGGAAGGAAGCAGTATGAAGAGAAAACTCCATGGCATCTTCTGGGAGGAGAGATATTTATGGTGATGAGGGACAGGCAATAAGCTTTGTGCCACCCCTGGTAGTGAGTCCCTGCTGTACTTCGTATTCGTTTTCTTTACGGGAAGTGGACTAGTGTGATACTGAATAGTCCAAAAGTAGAACTACAGGCAAAATTCATCAGCTTGGCATGATGTTGAACTGCGATGGTACATTTCTTTGAAAGTCGCTATGGCAGCGAGTGGCACTAGGAGACAGTAGTAAAGATCTACTACACATGATGCGTAGAAATATAACAATGACTGAGCAATCAATGCTAGCCGCGGTGATATGCGGATATAGCCTTCTTTTCTTCCTTCTAGAACACAAATCACAACCTTTATTTGCAATGCTAAATCTGGAGGATTGATCCGTGCCGCTACAGCAAATAGTTGTATTGAATGCATCGATTTCATGCAGAGAACGACAAATACAAGCAGAAAGAAGGAAGCAACCGCGGGATGATACCGGGATGGCACGTGCAAATTCCGTGGCAATTACCTGATCCGGTTAGCGGCGGATGTCGGGGAACGGACTGGAGAAGGCGGGTTGCTGATGACGGTCCAAGATAGACCGACTTTAAATCGAACTACTTTGTATCTTACTGCTGCCTCTCCATCCCCAACACACCTCGTTGCATGAGGGACTCGCTGTCCAACTCACTCGGGGGAAATGATTCCAGATATGCCATCGGCTTCTCTTGGCATGCTCGATATCTCCCAGTGATACCGGATCACCCTACCATTTACGATCGCCCCCTCTCCGTCTCCTCGCATCGCGCGACACACTTGTACCCACCATCCCACGGATGCTTACGATTGAGAGATTCGCTTTCCGGCTGAAACCAGATCGCTCAGGCATCGCTTCTGCTTCCTGAGCATCAGTCATGTCCATACTTTCATCGGCCGCTTCAGCCGCAACAGCTTCAATAACTGCTGCGCAGTCCCTGAACACCACTGCATCGATCGCCGCTCATTCCTCACTGTCCTCGTCATCGCGCGAACTCCTGTCGCTTCCATTCCGCGGACTCTCCCAGGCAGAGGCCTTTACATTCTCTACTGTGCCTAAGCAACTCGCCAAGTTAGTTGGACTGCAGGATATGGCGACGCGATTTTGGGGGGCAGCTTCTGGGACGGGGCTGGAGCCTGAAGCAGTACTGGCAACGCAGACAGCCGCTGAAGCTGTCAGAGACGGCGTGGTTGATGCCGCTGCCCAGGCTGACTCCAGTCTCCATTTCTCCGACATCCTACAGGCCGTCATGAAATTTAGTGGTTTCTTCTCGTACCTGACGAGCCGGTGGTCTTTAACTTGCTTTACCGTGGTAAATACTGATTTCCCCGGCTAGTCGCTTCATGAAAATGGTTAGGCTAACCTATCAAGGCTCTTATATTGAATAGGATTACAATATATGCCTCCACTAGAAGACATCTTAATCTGGATTGGACTAGGCGATTGGCTCTGCGCATCGTTCCTATTGTCCTTTTCATTACTCAAATCTACGCACTTCTTCGGTCTATCCGTTGCCAAACATCCCCGGAATACTCTACTATACGCTATGGCACACCGGGCAAGCGCTTGCTATTCGATCATTCTGGCGGAGGGGGCTTCTTGCATGCCCTAAGCTCCACCCTTTTACCCTGGGAAACAGACGAGCAGTCTTGCAGTGCGGTGCACATGGGCCGTCCTGTAAATGCATCGGACATATCATATGGCTCTTTCCGACTGCTCTGGCCAGTTTTCATCCGCCTCTGCCTCAGTCACTTTGTCGAGACCGTCTCTTGCGCTTTGCAGGGACGAGCAGTTGTCACAGAAGCTGGCATGTCTATATTCGAACACTCGCTTGCCTTTGCAGAGGCAGAATCTATAATCAGCCAGACTCTTGGTCTTGGTATCTTTGGGTTGTCAAAGCAAAGCAGTGCGAAAGATGTCGCTGGAGAGGGCGGGCAATCTACCCTGCATATCCTGACTCGAACTCAAGCTTTGGAGCGAATGAATGTCACTCCCGAGTTATTGCTGATCGCGATGATCTCGTGTTGCAACAGTCTGACCTCAAACGTTCTAGATGTCATTGGCAGACAGAGTCGTTACCGCTTGGTGAATACTGCTTTTTGGGGCCTCTGCTTCATGTCGGCTATGGCATGGGGCTTGTTCGGCGGTTCTCCAGTTGGGAGCGACAGTGTCGTTTTGAAATTCCCGACTGTATGCATTGTAGGGTTCATTCCTCACCTTCTCATCCTGCTAGGAATCATCGCCTGTGTCTTTATATACGTGATTGCTCTGGTTATTACAGCGTTCTCGCTGCCTATGCAGACATCGGGCTCGTTGACACTTCGAGAAAGATTCTCCCTTGCACATGAGAATATGCAGGGCGCCAGCCAGATCCAGAATATTCGTATTAACTGGCATGAGGATTTCTACAGCACGCTGCTGAGGATCGGTTACACGGCTTTGACGGCTGCCAGCGAAGCAGTTTTTCTCAATGAAGGAAGACGGGTTTCGGCGCGCAGGATGACTTGGTTGGAACAGGATAGGCTGGCAGAAATAGAGTCTCATCGCAAGCAGTCATCCTGGAACCCCCGCAGTGATCCTTCCGCGGATATGTGCTCTGAAAATGGGGAGTTAGACTTCGATATTACCGAGTCAACCGCGGAATGGGAGAGCGGATACTCGCGTGAGAAGAAGATTGAGAAGCCTAAGCCAGGCTCCAGGCCTGTTCGCCCGCAGAATGATGCAGGTGGTGTGGGTACCTTCAGGGGCGTGGTTCGCTGTTATCATGGATTTGCGTTCTTCCGCGGCATCTTCTATCTTGTCCTGAAGTGGGTTGCTTACGGCCTGGACAAGCTTCTCTCCCGGATGGGCATAACTGCCCGGCCACAGTGGTTGAAATCCGCAGTAGGGTCACCAAAGGACTCGCAGAAGAAGAGAAAGGGCAGCCGCATGGATACTCTAGACTTTTGGATTTTGACAGATGATGGAGCTTTAGAGCTACCCGACGACCATGAATATGATGTAGAAAGAGAGATGCGAAAGAGGGAAAGAATCCAGGCCGCTGGCTGGGAGGAATCCGATGAACGCCGACTTGACGACAAACTCTACGGTTGGTGGAAAGTGGGAGGCTCATGGGGCAATCAGGACCAGAGCTCTGATTACGCACCTTCTGTTGACGACTGGGAAGACACTACGAGTGTCATATCGATGTCGACAACGGCCGGTTCCGAGTGGGAAGGATACGAATCCGACGGTCGTCGCACTCCCACTCAAGAAGACCCCTTTCCGGGTCGTTTCTCCCGAGAAAGTACTCCAGCTCAAGAACCGCTCGTGGATATCGGCGCCTTGGCACGACTGCTGGATCCTCGCGATCAAGAAAGCAGACACGAAGCGCGCATATTGTCTGCTCATCTGGCTGCCGGCCGTGAGGGTCGGATAATGACCCGTCGGCAGTTCCAAAAACATGTTGAACGGGACCGAGCCCAAATCCTGCTTAGCTCACGATTAGCACAGCCCTCCACACATGAGTCTACTAACGGCAAACGCAAGCCTACCTCTGAGGAAGAAGCCGAGCTTCTCGAAAACCTCATTCTCTCACGAAGAGCCGAGATGCGGTCCGCTCCAAACGCAGACGAGCAGACGTGGGAATCGGGTGCCTCGGGTCTTGGACCCAGCGGGCCACCGTGCGTCATTTGTCAGACTAACCCCCGTTCTATCATAACCTGGCCATGTCGGTGTCTCTGTATTTGCGAGGATTGCCGTGTCAGTCTTGCCATGAATAACTTTGGAAACTGTGTGACATGCCGCCAGGACGTTGCAGGTTATGTCCGGTTATGGGTCCCATAAGTCTTGTTTTCTTTTCCGCATCGGCCTCACGCTTGACATATCGAGGTCCTCATTTAGCAACATTAGCGTAATTTGAATGCAAAGCGATAGATAGAGTGATTAATGTACATTGTACCATCTAGGATAATATACTGCAGTGCGGATATAGTTAGTAGTTTCCATCCACACACTAGTAGTATATATACCATCCTCTATAAATTGTACTACCAGTAAAGACATCCATATATCATTATCAACCAGTACAGCCACGAAGTAAAGCCACCCATTAAACCCTCCCCCTAAGCCCAACTCCACAAGCTACAAGGACCCAGCACATCCATCACAACACCTTAGTGTTTCATTTTCTACATTAACACACAGCTGTTCACACACTCACCCAACAACGAAAGCGACAAGCAAAATTCCCACTCACATTCAATACCAGTCTCACACTCTAACACACAAAGATGCTGCTGACCCAGGTTCGAAACACGCATTCACTGACCAGCCCTCGTCAGATACATACATGCATCGATCGCGTAATGTATACTTCCTCACGTCAACACCGTCATCTACCATTACGGATCTCTTCGTTCTATCTCGTTCTCTCGGCGTTATCGCAGCATACTCGTTTCTTCTCGGAGTTATCACAAAATACGCACGTTCTCACATTCAGAAGTTCTAAGGTACGATTCTTCGCTATCGACAGGACAGAACTGAACTGAACTGAAAAGACTAATCATCATCTCGAATCCAGTAAGTGATGATGTGATGGCAGTCGTCCATTCCGGGGGTTTCTTCTCGCTCAGTTAAAAGGAAAAGAAAAGCAAAACGATAGGAAACTGACTATGGATCAATCCACAGATAAGGTTGCTGTCGTTGGGATATCAACAGTAAGACAGATTCAATCTGAGAAAACGGGGAGAGAGAGAAAGGATGATCAGAAAATCTGACGAGAAATACCAGCACAACCATGGCGTCGTCCTCTGATCATCCTCATGACAGAGAAAATAATCACGACCATAACAAGCCCAACAGACCGGCCCTGAAGATCGACACATCCATCACCGCACGTACTCCTACTAGTACCGCCGGCGCCAGCGGCGGCACTGAGGTCCCGTCTACAGAGACGTCTTCCCCACCGCAAAGTGCCGTTAGCTCAATGTCGACTGCATCGTCCATTCTGTCTAATTCGTCGAGGGAGTTCACGTTGCAGCTCGTTCATACCAATGAGGCCGGTGGTGATCCCGACGACGATATCGTCATTCTGATGTGGCCTGTTACTCCTGTTTCGGCTCCAGCTCCTGCACCTTCTCTGGCTTCGCCGGTCAATGAGACTGCTCCCGCTCAGGATCAGGATCATGTCCAGGAAGTGGGTGACGGGGGTGTCCAGATAACTTGGTTCAACCAGGCAACTGTGGAGGATATCGTTACAGCTATGGCTGAAAGTCTGATCTCCAATGTGCCGAGCGCCGATTGTGACGAGGGTAACGTCAACCAGATGGATCAGAGTACGTTTTCTGGTAGTAGTGCGTTAGCCAGTTAGGAAATTATGAAGAAATATGCTAATGGTTATCATGAAGCACTCACTAACAGCGAGGGAGTCAACGACGACATCCACCAGGATACAGCGGTTACTGAGCCCTGCGACCCTGGTTACGACGCCGACACTTCGACTAACCTGGACGACGACAGTGACTATGAGATCGTCCATGCCTTCTGGGAAAACGTTGTCCGCGACGGCCACGATGATGCTGTCGAGCACCAGGAGGGTCATGGGCATTCCGCGTCGTCCTCCGTTCAAGAGTGACTGATTTATGAATAAACTCGCCCTGTCAGTCAGCTACCACCTCCCCAGTCCCGATTGGGGAGTGTGGTAGCTGACTGACAGCGAGGATCGCGTCTCGTGAAAAGTTCGCTCTTTGGCGTTTGGTTTTCTTGTCCGTTTGGGTTGAGCGTGGAGTAAAGGGAGTTAAGGATCAGAAGAAGGAAGAAGATTTAGAGACCTGCTTTATTTTCTTATGGAGTTGGAGTTGGGGGTGTTCTGTTGTTAAGCAGGTCTCGGTTGGTGGTGAGGGAAAGAAGAAAGGATGGCAGGAGCTCGGGGGAGGGTCTACTCTTTATGTATGCGGAGCTTGGAGTTAGCGTACTGTCGTTTACGACAATAACGAGTTAATGTTGTCATTCCTGGATGCTTCTCCTGATATTGAGTGTTCTTGGGCTCATTTTGAATGTGAGCATGTGGTGCAGTCGCCGTGCATTCAATTGGATGTAGTTTGTAGGTGTGTTCCGGACCCGGCTGGGTCAGAGTTCTACAGTAATATCCTGCACACTGTAGTGCACTGCTGGGTTTGCTAGCTTAGAAAGCACATATTAGGGAAAAGTGGTAGTGCAATGCACATCATAGCAATAAGATGATTTCAAAGTCAATTCAGAGCTTTTACTTGAACAAAACATCAATAATATTAGGACCATGTAGGGACATGGATGGGGCGCAGTAAGAATCCATATTAGGGTGTACCCAATGGAAGAGAAGTAAGAACAACAACAGAAAATTACCCGAGAAAGGTCACCAGCAGCAAAATAGCAGAAGGAGAGACATGCTATACACTTCTCATACTCCATGGAAGAATCCAACAGTCTGCCTTGCTACACCGAAAGTCTGTCTATAGCACGCACACTGCTGCGGCAGCAATAACTATAGCCCCAGCTATACCCGCCTTGACAGTCGACGCAGAGCCAGTTGAAAGGGGAGAGGATGGAGATGCTGTGGATGATGCATGACCAGACTGACTGTGTGAGCCCGGCGTTGACGGAGCGTGGGAGCTAGATGCCGATGCTGATGCCGATGCGGACGAGGAATGCGACACCTTGGAAGATGATGCAGCACCTGAAGAGGATACAGTCGGGAGGGTCGCTGATGCAGCGCTTGAGGAGACAGCGTCTGAATCAGAGATGGAGGTCCTGGGCATAGACAAGGTCGTAGTCTCAAGGCCACCGCCCACCGGAGGGATAGAGATAGGATGGCCTGCGATGGAACATTGTCGGACGACTTCACTAGATACGGCTGGCAAGATATTAGTTCAGTCCATTACTCAAGGTAATGAGTTGGCTCCTACCAGACTGGTCGGCAACGTTGCATGCTTTTTGGACACAGGGGGTTATGGTGGTAGGAAGATCTGGCTTCTGGCAATGACAAGCAAAGTCTGTCAACTGTGAGCATCCATCGTGTTGAAATGCACTGATGAAGCAGTTTATCTAAGGGATGAGAGACGATATCAGTCAAGAGGACTCCGTCAGCTGGGCATTGAAGCTTACAGAGCATGAAGGGATATTTGGGAGCTGTGCAGTAGCAAGGGTGCTAGCGAACAAAACGAGAAGTGTGTGAAATAGCTGCATTGTTGAGGTGCTTGGCTTTCTATTACTCGAATTTGTTGTAGCTTGCGTCGAGAAGAAGGTAAGTGTAGGCCAGGAAGCGATAAACGATGGCTACCAGACAAGTAGATCAGAACAAACGCATGGGCAGAGGACCTCGCTTCTTATAAGCTTGTGCCACTGTTTCACGGAACTCTGGAACCGGTATCACATGCATATAGTGCTCCCATTGAGGCGTATCGCATTGCCCCCTTTTCATGTAGTAAGGACATCCGGTGGGAGATGCTTAGTCCATGTAAGAACCTCCGGTCGTTTGGAGTGATTGGGCAAATACCATCTTCCAATGCGCACGGCCAATCAACTATATGTCTTGCAATGTCTGCCGATCCCCTTCTTGACCTATGCGTTGGGTTGTTCTTGGAAGGACATGTATATAGACGGATATCACTGCCGAATGAGCAAAATGCGACGTAGGACGGGTAAAATTGCACGTACTTCGGTGACACGCGGATTCCTGTCCAGAGCGTGTGACAGTCGCTGTTATACTACATTGAGACCCTCAAATTAGAACCGTTGTAGAACCAATGGTATCTGTTGTTTAAGTGAGACCAAATATCAGGGAGCAGAGTTCACTAATCGGATTCGAAGAGGATTCAGCGACAGGCATCAGCTATGGAGCCTGGAGACAAACGGCCGCAGTCATCTGGTGCGATGATCATGCGGGAAAGACAACCCCTGGAAGCGTTGAGGTCCAAATATAGCAACTCTCAGCTCTGAGCGTAGATTGGCCAATGCAGGGGGCTTTTTGGATGTCTCGAAGGGAGCTTGCAGTGAACGTCCCGTAGGACAGTGATAGTAGAACCAATCGTTTGGTAGCACTGAAAGTGGCCTTTTTGTTCAACCAACCGAGCAGAAAGAGCTCAAGCGCAACGTCTCCGGAGCCTAGACATTTTCGGGTCCTTTACGCGGAAGCATCCAACCCTCTTTGTGAGATACTGTGTGACCAGAGTGGTCAGGTTCAACTTCACAGTTGCTGATCAGAACTATCTTGAGTGGCGTTTTGGGAATCATTCATAATATAGTCGCCCAGCCATGTAGTTCAGATGCTTACTTATGTACCTTGATACCTGTTACTACGGTATCTGTACGTAGTTTGAGTGGCGAGTTGTGTTCCACAGTGTCTGCAGATCAAGAGCGTAGACTGGTGAAAAATGAAGGGTGGCATTTATAACAATGTAGGTTATTCCAAAGTAGTAGTAATCCAAAGGGTATGCGCAGAATTCTCCCAAACGCCTGTCCAACAAACACCCGTACTCCCAACTCTATCCCACGCTGGTCCATGGGACAGAAATATATATTGCGCAGTGTCCCACCAAAAGTATGCTCAAGACATCAGTTCGTCAATGTACGCCCTCTGTTTAGTATCCTCTTCTGGTTTCAACAACACTGCCAACACCTCGAGGGGAGGATTGAGGCCTAGCGTATGCGCACGTCTCCATCGCTTGAGTCGAGCAATTCCAATGCAAGGCTAGAGTGATAGAGCGTTAGTTCAAGCAAACATGTGGTGTACAAATAAAGACAGACTTACCCCGTATTGACTTGAAAGGTCGAAGTTGCGCAGTATCTTCTCTCGTAGATCGAGGCCCTCCTGGTGAACTGGTGGACATGATCAGCGTACTTGTCACAGGGGTTGCCTGACTGGGATGTGTGACTCACCTCTAGGCCCTTGTCTCTTTGCCTCTTCCTTCTTCCAGTACTGTTGCAGTTGCCTTTCGGTGATCTTCTCCGCCTTATCATCCTCTTCTGACCGTGGTTGCTCAATCTCCGCCCGAGCCTGCTGCCTCACGGCAAGCTCTGCCACATGGGGCTGCGAAGGCTCGGTGGAAGTAACAGAAACCTGTTCTGCTTCGGATACATCGTCTACTGACGGAGTATTTGATCGAGAAGCGTCAATCAAGTCGAGATCCTTGGCTTTCTGAGAGCGTGTGGATGGCGCTGCTGATGGCTTGGTGACTCTGGACTTAGAGCCGAACGAGAGGGTCGCCTGATTAGAACGAGTGGCGGCAGTATTGCCTCCGCGGCGACGAGTGGGGGGCATTTTGCAATTATATTTGGATTGCTTTGTCTATGAGAAGGTGTATAGATAATATGCAGCAGTTTGATGAACCGAGTCCAGGCTGAAGGAAAATCCAGGACTACGTTCTGGGCCAGGCTTGGTTGAGAGTGTGGGGGAGACGATGTCATCATTGGTTTGTTGCACATGGCAACCGCCGCTACCGGATTTACTTCCACCAACCCCAAGCCAGTTCTATCGCCCCTGGAATCCCAGCAGAAGCTGTTTTTGTTCGCTTGCTTGGATGGTATGCTTGAGTATAAAATAACGTTCTTCATGGATTTTATGAGCTATATAGATTTATAGCTAGTCAGCCTGTCCGCATGTCTCACGTAGTCAACCCGCCGGCTTACTGTACTATTGGCCTGATAACGAAGAATATTGCGGGGTAACTACTAGATAAGTAAGTACTTAGTAGTGGTACCTGGAATTGGTGGATGAAGCAGCCTCCCGGCCTGCAGCTGACCAAGGGCCCTTTTTCAAATTGTAAGATAGTAGTATCCACTTTGGTGGTTCGATAGGGATATCCTGTAGAAGATCACATTTAAGGTGAAACTGCGCATGCCACTACGTTGCAGAAATCTGCACGTTTATCTACTATACTAGTGGATCGATAGGTTGATTTTACCTGCTTTGTTGTGACTGCGGTTATATTGACAGCGTTCTTTCGTCACTAAGTAAGTACTATTCAGTATGGTGGTTGTGATTGATAATCCTTGATTGGGAAGTGTCTACCTGCTTATCGCTAGTATGGGTCAGTCACATGGCATCATCGATAAGAAACAAGACCTGCAGGGCGGGAAACCAACGAACCAACGATTGACCGCTTTTTGCAGGGAGAGCTTCAAGTGGAATCCATCCAAGCATGGATCAGCGCCATGGAAAGATCCAGCTCTATCTGTCTATTAGACAGAATGCATGAATTGAACTTAGTTAACCGAGTTCACCGTAAGCAGATTGATAAGAGTCTATACACAGTAAGGAACATGCTCAGGAGCGGTCAGCTAGGAATGCATCCAGGATGCATTTGTTGTCAGTACTTCGTACAGGAGGATGATTAATAGACCAGGCGGCAACCAAAGCTGTCAGTACTTAATATGCAATCAATTTGCCGCCCAGAATTGATTCGTCGTTTCACGGTGCATAATCATCAACCAAGCCCCATTGATTGAGAACGACGATCAATAGTTAAATGTTCTGCCTGGTGGAGAGCTCAATAATTTAGTTAGCACCAAGAGAAATTGAAATGTGTCATTAGCTGTCTTCCGAGGACTGAGTGGCCTGCTCGTATTGACAATATGCGGATGGTCTGACAGGGGGGATTAGAATCGGGGATGCGTTAAGTTGGTTTTAGTAGTTCCTTCGTTATACTCCGGACTGCGCACAGAATCGCGGCTGGCTGGCCTGACAAGGGTCGGGAAGACGGTCCAGTTCAAGTAGTTCCGTGGCTGCCGCTGGGAACTTGACCTGCTTAGCCGCCGCAGATGTTCCCCATCACCTTCTCCCCTCCCCACATCAGCGCTTGTAAACAACCCTCGATTGCTTCACCAACGTCGCACCGGCTTTCTCTCGCTTTCCACCATCCTTCCGACTCTAACCCCGTTTCCCTGCCTTTGCCGCTTCCGAATTCCTGTCTGACGCCGCCCGCACTCGAAGCGGTAATCGCCTAGCCTCGCCCAGACTGGGTCCGAACTTCACGTTCCATAGCAACGAGAGGGGTGTACCGCAACTGCGCCCTCACCATACCTTGGGTGCAGCGCTATTAAGCGGGATTCACACACCATATTTGGCTTCTCTATGAGATTACCGCCGATATATAGCTCTTCGAGGTCGCATCTTCTCCGCCGAATCCCCGGGGCGCATCCCTCTCACCCGCCGCGTGCCCATGGTGGTGCGGTAGCAGTGCTCTCAGCATGGCCGCCTTCGTGCGAGTGTCGGGGCCGCCGAATGGCCATTTCCTGATCGGCTACCCCGGTATATCTGCAACAATGGTGAGGACCGACTATTTTCTGGTCTATCTCCGATACATACAGCCCTTGCTGACCTCCAGAAGCCACGTATCGAGGGCAAGGTTGAGATCAGGCCTAGCGTCGGCATTACAGCTCCCGTCAATGTGTCCCTCGTCACCATATCCCTTCATCGCCGTGAGACAATACATCCCTCCGCCGACTCCGTGACCAAGAAGCACCTCGCGCCCCCCAGGAAAGAAATCACGGATATTGTGGGCAAGGAGATGCTCCTCTTCCGCTGCCCAGCGGGTCGAGAGTACGAGGAAGTGATATCCATGGATCTGCCCTTCGTCCTTTTCATTCCATTTGGGCGCGGAGGGCCGGACGCTTCGAGAAGAGTTCCACCCGCCAGTTTACAACTCCCTAGTCGCACCGCAGAGACATTCTATGAAATAGTGGTCATGGTTCAACAAGGTCATTCGGATCAGCGAAAATACACGTTCCCGGTTCCCATCTCACGCTATGACACACTCTCCACATTTGGAATGTACAACCGACCTGAGTCGGCGGAAAGGGTATCGGACCATCTGGTCACTTTGGGCATATCTTTGCCTCGGTGGTCTTACGGCCCCCTTGACCCTGTGAGCGTTTACGTCAAACTATCGCCCAATCTCGACTGGATAGGCAAAGCTAGGAAAGTCACAATCAACAAGATTACTATCGGCATTGATGAGGAGATCATTTACAACCATGAAGGTGACGAGCCACAACGGAAAGTGAGGACCTTGACGAAAAGAACAGAGCCCATTGGGGTGAAGCTACCCCCGTCGGGCTTTTTGACGAATCTGGGGTTGGTATTTCCAGCCAAAGATCTTCGCGACTCCAAGGGTATTCTTCCCAGGAGCGATATGGCTTTTCCGGCTTATGCTGTGACGGGGTTTACGACAACGGCGAGTCTCTATAAAATCGAATATTATCTCACAGTAAAGGTTCGTCTTCCCACTGCATGTGCAGTTGTATGACTTTGGCTAACAATCATACTACAGGCCCACTTGACTTCCGCCAGAGATATTGTCATTCGACAGCCGATAGTTGTATGTCCTCTTGATCATGCTGGCTGTAAAGAGGAAATGGATGCTATCGAACAGGCTGCCCGCGAGGCGGTTCATATCAATCCGGATAATCCCATGTTGCCGCTTCCCTCTATCGTGCGGCCCAACGATCCCAATGCTCTTCGTCATCTGGGTGTTGCTATTGTCGGCAATCAAAAGAAGCCCTTAATAGACTGAGCCACAGTTGCCAGTTCGGACTCAAATGTCCACCATTTCCAACGAAGCATGCCCAGGCTTTAGGCTGCGGGCTAATCGGGCCATTTCACAGCGCCAGCCCCAGAACAACGCCTCATACGCGCCGATAGAGCCTGATCGCGTCGTATATTTCTTTTCTGATTCGGCGTGCTTGCTGTGACGCAAGAAGCGTCATTACGTCTTACGAATGCATGGGCTACGGAGTTTTGTCGTTGCATGGTTTTCCTGGTAGCCATTTCGTTCCATTTCTTGTTGGCCGGAGCAAAACGGGGTGTTTGGGTTGCCTTTGCTTCATACGGAGGAAAAGGCTGGGGGGAGAGGTTCCATTCTAGTTTGGTTCACGTGCTTTCCCATGCATGTTCTAGTGGTGCATGCGCAATATAATATGTAAGATCTACCTTTTCACGGCTCAATTTTGGAAGCGAAAGAGAAGGAACCATTCTCAGCAGCTCAACTTGGATTCAACATGTGGCAGACAGGGCAGATAGATGGTCCCGTCCGCATAGTTCACAATATTTCTTGCTTATCACGCAAGGCCGACTATCTGGAATACTATATAGCGATGCTAATTCCTGGAACGAAATACAACGAGAACCAGACACAGCGAGGCGAGAGGCTCGTATATTTTCAATCATTTACCGTAGCGCCAGTATTTAACACATTCCAAATTTGTAGGGTATTCGTAAAACATCGTAGCATAATACATGAAGGCACTTCCGGACAAAACAGCCATGCAATACGCTTGTCAAAAAGACTCGAGTCAAAAGGTTATCAGTTTCCATACCGACAACCAGCAATCCCACCCCTCCATCCCGTCTCATACTGCAAGTCATCTCTCCTCCCCAATCTTCAAGAACTCCATAGCAGTGCTCAACATATCCGGATCAAGTTCGCGACGATTGCGCTCATTCATATCCTTCTCCACACGTCTCATAAACTCCTTGAGCATCTCCACAACACACTTGTATTGTGGTGAACGAGGACCGAATGTAGTCAGTGTGTTGGAGAGATTGACGGTGATCTAAACTGCGTTAGAGGGGCAGGCCTACACGATGGTTGTATGTGTCTAACTGGAAGAACTTACCTGGGTGAAGATCGCCTTGTAGTCAGGACGAGGATCTTCCATTTTGGGAGATATGGGCACAAAGGGTGCTTGCTGCTATTGGAGCAACGTCAAGGAATTTTATGATGGTGGTGCGGACCCTTTTTGAATTTCAACCCCGCGGTTGTCGGATCTGATAAGCAGACAGGAAAAAGTTGGGCCTGAGAGGTTTAGGCGTCAGTCGTCAACGCTGCGCACAAGAGCGGTCTATGGGGTGTGTGCTGTGACAGGGGCAGAATTGCTTGGTTCTGAGTGTTGTGAATAGGTTTGCTTGGGTTACTATTTACTAGTAGGGGTGGTGAATTTCTCCCGGAATATGCAATAATGTACTTCAGAGACATATGTCACTGACTACAGTATAAAAGTCAGTACGATGACGGCATCAAGCTATACTAAATATGTACTATAGAAATACTCAAAGTAAAGGCAGTGATGAATATGTAATGTATTATGAAAGGCATCATTATGCGCTACCTCTGGTTCCCATTATGGATGACCATTGTTCGGTGTTAAGCCATCAACCGATCAGAAGCTGCCTAAGAATCCCCCGCAGAAGGAATACCTAAGTATACTAACGAAAAAGAAAGCAACTCTTAGACGCCCCAATTGTTTCACTAAACTGGTTGGAAATGCAAGTTGGAAGGCAGACCGCAGGCTAAGCCTGAAACTAAACCCCGTGCATTCAGATTTTCTTATCGGAAGTGGATATCGATCCGCCCGCGCAGCTTAACTTTCTTTCCACTCTCGCTTTCCCCTCACGCGCTCTGCCATCCCCGACACCGATACTACATGCTCTCTGGCTTGGGTCATTGTCGGCTGGAATCAAGATGGCTGACATAGATGAAGCCGTCATCCATATGCCCTCGCAGGATGCGAGCGCTCACATTGACACCGACCTCTCCGACGAGACTCAGGACTTCCGCATGCTGAATAGCATTTCCTTGTCAGTGCTACCACGCGTCTATCTGACCCCAGCCCCAATTACAGCTCAATGCGCAAATGGCATACTGACAATGGAGAAAACAGCCTCACAGATGGTTCACAACAAAGTCTCCCCAAACGTGGTGAAAAGGACTTCGAACCGAACCCGACGCTCTTCCAAGCCGACATTCTCTCCGCCTCGCGGCAGGCCATGCACAATGCCCTTTCGTACCCTCGTCTACACCACCCAAAGACACAAGTTGTTGGAATATACTCTCCCAATGGACCGATCCCGCTGCGATCTGCCAAAAAGCTAGTTACCATCTCGGAAGAATCGGAGCCCTCGAAACCCGCAGGCACGGATATAGGCGTCCATCCCGACTCGTGTGTCTATGTTCCCGCCCCGAAGGGGCAGTACTTCAAGTCGATAGGTCAGGCTGATCGTTGGAACCGCGTATGGTTACTTCCGGAGGAGGCTCTGTATCTACTTGAGAGAGGGACCTTAGATATCAGGTGGCCTTGCTCGGAGGTCGGCTGTGCTGACGACGAGGGGACGGACGACTCTGGAATCCCGATGAGCTTACAGGCTGCTTATGCGGCGTTCATGGGGCGGAGCGGTCTGACCAGTGAGCGGTACTCGGTTTATACGGGATTGAGGCGGTTGGGGTATACGATCATTCGTGCCCCAGGGTGGCACGATGTAGAGGAGGGCGCGGAGACTAGCGAATCACAGCAAACAGCACTGGAGAAGCCTCAGGGTCTGGGACTTGGGATTGCTGGGGTGTTTAGGCAGCTTTTGCAGTGGCTGTACAAACCTGGTAGCGCTACAACTGCGTTGGGGCCTGTTGTAGGCCTTGGGATTCATCGGAGTTATGGTACGTTTCCTGCTCTCACTGCGCTTGCGGTTATACTGACACTGCTTCAGATGACATATATCAGAAACTCTCTATTATCCCCTGGTATGACCCGACTGCTTCGCCTTCTCCCCCGCCTCCCACGACACCGCCCTACCGTGTAGTCTTCCATATCTACAAACCATCCACACCCTTCAAGAAATCCGCCCCTCCGGCCCCCGACTTTAGGCTCGCCGTTGTGAATGCACGCACGCACACCACGATCCCCACATCAGCTCAGCTTGGGGCGTTGCTCGAGAGCACACCGCTCGACCCACCAGTGGGCGAGAAGATGAGTCGCCAGCTGTACCAGCGACTCCGGTACGGATACAGGAACGTGATCCTGGCTGTAGTCGACGAGGGCGTCGTGAGCTATCTCCGAATTGCAGACTCGGCATTTGGCAAGGAAAAGCTTTACAAGCAGCAGAACACGAAAGGAAACAAAGGACCCTGGCGTCCACGGCCCAAAGGACGCTGAGGGCTTATCAGAGTCCATTATACAGCTCATGCTAAATACAGCCTCTGAAGGGATAAGAGCATTTCTCCCCTGGAATAAGGCCCGAGATCCACCAGAACGGACACGGACTGAATAGAGGGGATGGTAACAATCTGCCATCATCTTTAGTACACCCGTCCACGGAGTGAAAGGACGAATATAGATGCTCCGATGGCGAGCCAGTGGCGTTAACAGCCCACTGACCAAGTGAGATGAAATGTGCAGTGGAGGGAGTCCCTAAAAGGGACAAGAGACAGCAAGATATCCGTCTATTCTTCCAAGTTATATACCCAGATCATAACGCCACCCTACCATCTGTGAAGAAGCTGAAACCACAACCACCAAACTCCATATGATATACAATAGAGACATAGAGCCATCATGTCGCGTTATTCGTGAACCCAAGCCATCCCACTATAATAAACCTAGAACCAGAATTAGTACAAACCCCGCACCAACCAACCCAACATAAACTCAATCACTTACCTACACGGACCAAATCAAACCAACCCACCTCAATCAAGCATCCAAATAATCCGCCGCCATCAACAACTCCAAACACAACTCCGGCGGAATATCCATATCCGGAACGTATGTCTGGTTCTTATTCTTCTCATTGTAGCAGAAATACTCGCATACTTTCTCTAGCACGATGCCGCTGATATTCTCGAGGACGCACCGTCCGGTAACGGATTCTGAGAAACGACCTATAATAAAAACCAACCAGTTAGCAAATGCCACCACTCATGTAAAAATGAAGAGAAGGTATATTCACTAGACGGTTCTAACATGCGCCGTATCGTCCCGGACACACAGGCTGTGCTGCGCGGGATGACGAATTCGAATCCATCGCCGGACACCAGAGTCACGTATTCGGACTGTGAGGAGGAGGAAGGATCTGAAGCGGACATGGTGTGAGGGAGTGGGTGGCGGGGATTTAGATATAAGTAAGTAGATGGAGCAAACGAGAGAAATGGAATTGGATGGAATTATGGATGGCAAAGGTACGAGACGCGGCGCGGTGCGGCGGGCGATAAGTGAGTAATAATCGGCTTTGGTTCCGCGATTTAATTTAGGCTGCGGTTACTTGATAGGCTCCAGTTTCGGGGTGGTCCGTGCTTAAGCTCCGATGCCGATGCTGTCACTCTTTGTCTTGTCTAGTTAACTATCTTTATTCTGGTGTCTGTTGTGTAGAAAGTTATACACAATTAGTTGCAGGTTTGGGAACAAGGGTTCTGTTAAGTAGGGAGTAGTAAGTTATGCATTACTTTTAAACAACACATCGACTAATCCAGTTGTAGTATCTTTCCTCTCTGTGCAAAACTGCCGAAGGAGCCTGGTATTTCTTAAGACTACTATACACTTCTTCCGCTCCTAGTACAGATGCTATAAACTCATTCATCACACCATGTACCAAAGGAACATCCTACGCCTTCGTGGCGTAGCCCCCAGGCTTCAGACACATCACCATCACCTCCCACACCTCCCCCTCACCACTCAACGAGCATACTCCCAATTCACCCCCTCCAACCGCCTCTCCAACCGAACATGCATGATCACAGGCGGAACTTCCGGCATCGGATTCGCCATCGCGGAGCGCTTCCTCCAAGAAGGTGCCTCGCGAGTAATCCTAGTCGGACGATCCTACGAACGACTCTACAACGCCGCATCTCGCCTTCAAATCGACTCACCAGCCATCCCCTCCACGGAACCCTCCCAGCTCATCACAAACCCAGAGAAACACCAGCTCCTCGAATCCTCGCCCAGAATCAGCCTCCTAATCGGCGACATCGCCGAAGCAGGGTCCTGGACGCGTGAGCTCGAGAAAGCAATGGTACGTACATCCACCCTCTCCTCCCTCTAATCCATACATACCACTGTATTGGAGAAAGGCCATCCTCAAATAACACCACAAACGAGCACCACAGCAAGCAACAAACCCGGACATCCTCATCAACGCCGCCGGCCTCTCCATCTCCTCCATCCTCCCTAAATCCGAACCAACAGATATCTCCCGTATCCTGCGCACGAACCTCGAAGGAGCCCTTCTCACCTCTCGAGCGTTCATCCGCGCCTCGATCCGCAATCGGATGAAGAAATCCACCCTCACCACTACCGCCACCACTACCAATGGAAATCCAGCATCATCCAAATGCATAATCAACATCTCTTCCCTACTGGCCCACAAATCCGGAACCGGCGCGGTCCCCTACGCAGCATCAAAAGCCGGAGTGCTCGGTCTCACGAGATCGGTCGCTGTTGAAGCGGCGGCGTCGCTGCGTGATGTGGTGGTTAGATCGAATGCTATTGTGCCGGGGTATATTGAGACGCCTATGATTTCTGGTTCGTTTCCCCTTATTCCCTACAATTCTATGCTGTAGCTGGATCGTTGGTGGAAGAGGAAGGTTGCTTGCTGACACAATGGGATAGATTTCTCAGATGGCGAAACAGCCCGGTTGAGGGAGAGTATCCCTGTGCGACGATTCGGGAAACCGGAGGAGGTTGCGGATGCGGCGGTGTTTTTGGCGCAGAATGAGTATGCGAATAATTGTTTGTTGAATTTGGATGGGGGGTTGAGTGCTATTTAGTATCTTGCTGGGGTTGGAAGTATGATTAATTGAACTGTAATATGTGTGTACGATAGTTAGATGTGACTTGTACCTAACAAGAGCATCTTCTCCATCGAAATGAGCTTAATTTATCCAGCATCCCCACCGAAATAAGCAACATAACTAGTAACCATCCATTCTATCGAAACCGATCATGCGGGGTTTGTGTATGCAAAGTAGCGTGATAAAGTATTTTACATGAGAATAGTAAACAGAAATAACACAAAAGCAACAAAACCCAGATCAATCATTCATGCGCCAGATCTGCAAAGCCAAGAGAGCAAATAGTAAGTATCACTATGTTGGTCGAAGATGCCGAACCCCAATTAACTACCCACCTTGGTATCATTTTAATCATCATCAATCAGGATTGCGCCGCCGTTTGCCTCGTCCAGGACGATAGGATTGGCTCCGTCACCATCCGCGATGGACATCGCTGCCACTCGCTTGGCTGGGTTGTCGCCATTGCTGAGCCCGGCTTCGTCTGCGTCGCGCTTGCGCTTGCCTGCGCCGTTGACGGGCTCGGGCTCAGTCTCGGGGGCTGCAGGTGCGGGTGCCTTCGGCTTGCGGGGGATGTCGGGAACGGATTCCAGGGAGGCGGGTTTCTGGTCTTCTGTGGATTGAGAGGCCTCGGTCGCGAGCACAATAAGTTCAAGGTTGACGCGGGGCTGGTCGTCCTCTTCGTCGATGACGGTGATGAAACACTCATTTTTGACACCGAGGTCGGTCAATTTCTTGGGGAGATTGTCCTCTAGATCGGGGTCGTAAATGGTTCCTAGTTCGGTGTTGATGGAGAACTCTTCACCGTAACCCAGTTGGGACCGGAGAATATCCTGGACCAGGTTTTCCAGTGTCGCGCGCTGAGGATCGATCTTCAGCCTGGCGTGAGTCACGGAACACACTGGACAATTCGGGTTTGGAGGCTGCAAAGAATCGGAGTTGATCGCACGAACACCGCTGCGTTCGAGGAAGACCATCTTGGCCTGATCGTACTCCCCTCTTAGAACTTTGTAAGCCTGCAAGACACAGAGACCAGCCGTCATGGCATTGGTGGTTGCAATAGCTGGGATGATGTTGCCAGCCATCTGTTTCGTGTCGAACTTGGACTTGGGATCGATCTTGAAGATGCTTGCCCGCAGATTGGCAGTGGCGGCGACGAAGTCCAGGGTGTCGACGTCGTCCTTGTCGAAGACTAGGATAGGCTTCACGTCACTCTTCGTGGTGTCCTGTAGGGTCTTGAGCCGCTTGCTCAATCGATCCAGACTGTCCTTGAAGACGACAAAGTCCTCAGCAAGAGTCCAGACTTTCTGGTCATTGCAGGAGACCACAGGTTCGATGCCCGAAGACTCCTCTTGTAGCTTGTGGAAATCCAGAGGCTCCGGGGGATCTCGCGTCTTCCACATGTCTTCCATGCCTCGTAACCGATCTATGTCCTCCTGAAACACTTTTTCGAATACTTTCTGCGCAAATTCCTCGGAGCCCATGGATTGACGGATCTCCTTGAGGGCCTGAGCCTCCCTGCGGAGGTTCTCAATCTCTTCGGCTAGTACGCATTAGCCAGTGTCAATCAACGTCGCGATTCCAACTCACAGTTTTCAGCATCTTCCGAGTGATCAAATTCGCTCGAGTCATCCTCGCTTATGCCGAAGAGCTCACTATGTACATTAGCAATTATGCATGAGGTTGCCGCCTGATGACTTACGGAAAAAGGTAGCTCTTGGCCCAGACGATACAGTGGATCGGCTGACTGGGTGTACTGCGGATAGTGCAGACCGGGAACGACTTGGGGACCTCCTTGGAGTTACAATCGTAGCATTCCGTGACGCCCTAGCAGTTGTCAGCGGTCGCGCCTAACCAGTCGTAGAGACACAGAAGGTAGGGACTTGACGGCGCACCTTCTTGATGACCTGGACTTGGCCGTTGAACCCCGTTGTTCCACTCTCCACTAGCGGCACATTGGCTGCCAAGCACATCCTATTCACATGGCGTCGAGCATCAAGGTTGTCCAGAGCGTTGAAGACGACATCAAATGTCGCAAACCAGTCAACGTTGAACTGGTCATCCTTGATGTTCGCATGGTATGCTTCAAGCTTCGCACCGGGCTGGAACTTGTGGGCGACTTCCTTCGCAACCTAGATATAGCGCCACCAACCGTCAGGATCTCGTTCGGAAGGATGGAAAGGACGGAAATGGGAGGGGATGTAGGTAGTAAGACATTCGGAGGAGTCTGACGCACCAATGCTTTGGGTTTCTTGATGTGTTCGAAGCGGAAAAGGAATTGGCGGTTGAGATTGCTCAGATCGATGGTGTCGAGGTCGATGATATGGATTTCGCCGAACCCGGAGAGCAGGAGGTTCTTCAGCAATTCGCATCCGATGCCACCAGCACCCACGAGAAGCACACGCGACTAGAAAGCAAATCAAGGTAAATGGTTAGCATGGTTATGCGCCAGCTGGGCTTCTTGCTAAAAGAGAAGCGTTAAGGAGAATAAGCGTGGGGGGTGGATGGAGAGCGGTACCTCTTTGATTCGTCTGGCTAGAGTTCCGAGCGAGCGCTTAAGATAAGTCTCCCGCGTCATGGTTGCGGCGCGGAGACGGACAGTAGATCAAAACGGAGACTATCAAAGTCAGAGCGGGCGAAAAGGCATCGCCGAACAAAGGAGCTGTTTGCAAGGCGCGAATTGAGGGAATGGAGGTAGGCAGGAGACAATGAGAGGCAGAAGTGAAAGTAGGAAGAAGCTCCGGCGGAGAGGAAGAAGTCCGGAAGCAGTCGAGGAAGGAAGGTTGAAGTCAGGAAGAATGAAGTAACAATCCCGAGCCCACTTCAACTTCCCCCGAACTACAGTACTTCTTTTCCCTTCAACCCCATCATCACCACAGGGTGGGGGATCCCAGGTGAATCAAACTCATGCCCAGCAACAAACCCGATGTTTGACTGCATGCTGATGCAAAATTAAAAATACAAAATTAAAAAGAAGTTCTAACCCTCCAGCTGTCCGTCACATTTGTCTTGTCCAATGCAACCAAAGCGGATCGGCCAGTCTTGATGGTGATCGTCCCGCATCCGATCGCATTTCCCTGTTTGTCGTACCAACACGAGGCCATTTGAACTATCAGCCTGTCGATTTACCTACTCCATGCTACGTGCTTGAATAATAGCGTCCTTGTCAGATGTTGCTATCAGGTACTTTTCGCCTACCTGCCGCTCAAATGTCGCCAACCCTCAAATGCGACTGATGCATCTCACGAGCCCAGCATGTGAGAGCTCACATTCCTACCTTTTACTTCTCCACGATGGTTGGGCGACTCCTGCACGGTATAGAACTAGCAGGGGGGTCTCATGCCGGAGCTGAGTACCCAGCGCCAAAAATCAGACGTTGACAATGTACTTTGCATGTTCTGGATCTTTCATAGTGGGGGCTGTAGTTGATGGATGTCGGGCTTTTCTACGAAGTATCTCTAGGCCGTGGAATTTATCGATTTCCATCCACGTCTTACTGTATGGCCAGGCTATGAGGCTGACAGATCGGCAGAGCTCGAAGACGTGCAGTCCTACAAAGTGAAACCTGAAATACCGCCGTGCGAAAGTGCCAAAAGACTGTCTGTCTTCTTTCTTCGCGGCGCTCTCCGTGATATCCTTGGCCTTACCTAATCATCACTAACCACAGCTAACATAGTAAATTCATCATAAAGATGATCAGTCAGGGGTGACGCCACGGGCTTTCTATGGCCCGCTGTTGGGTCGCAGTCACCGAAACATCGCCGGAGTTGTAGGAGACATTCGTAGGCACTCGTCTTGCTCAGCACTAGCGCGCTTTGCGGAAACGCAGAATCAACCTCGGAAGCAGGCTGTCTCTTCGACAGGGGTGGATGGATACAGAAGCATCTGAGTCAGTAGCAGGTCACCTTCCACAGCTAACTGTGCTATAGAGATAGCTCACTTTCCGCCTCAGAATGTTGCGCACACGTCTACTCTGTTGTTGTACAATCGCACAACTTAGTGGTAGCATGTCGATTAATACGGATTTCCGGGCTTAGATCCATAATGAACTTTAACGCAGTATACTACCAGTAGTTGCTGTCTACTACAAAGTATAAGCATTGACGACGGGCTTTTTCATTGGCGGAACAAGGCCAACGTCTGGATGGAGTCAAGGATGGGGGAAAGGAACAGTGGCTGGCTTTGCTGTGTAACAACCAACCAGGCCAGCATACTTCCATGAATCCGACAGGCTCTTCCGGGTATGTGTGTATCCGAGCTTTAACCACAAGATTTTTCCAAGGAAGATTGGTGGTCGAACCAAGACTAAATCAACAAGACTTAGAACTGAGTTATCGGTATTGATTAATTGACTGTCACCCACAGTCTTAAAAAGTGGCACCCGCAAAAGGAGATAAGATACCCTTGCTTACATAAACAGCACTTATCGGACCAAAAAGTTGAAGCTGGAAATTCCCGATAAAAGAATTGAGGGACATGAAAGAACCAGAAAAGCAGGTCTTCATTGACGGGGTTGATTGATTAGGACACCACTTCCCAGATGTCATTGGAGAATTACCTCCGTAGATAAATTACTTTGGTAGTGCGTGAATTTCCGCTGGGAGATTCGCCTTGGAGCCTGCCTTTGGCCCGATCGCTCTTTCTGGCAACAACCGTCTTTGATCCAAAGACAGTCGCTCGTGGGGATTTCCCATTTTCAATCCGTTTCTCTCTTTCCCTCCATCTCCCTCCCCTTTCCTCGTTATCGCCTCTGCCGTGAACCCGGAGTTCGCTGGTTCTCCGTCTTCTCCTCGCCAATTTTGCTCTACACTTCGGTTGGCACCTAACCGAGCAAAAAAAGTGTCATCGGGCAAGACCTGTCCCCCCTGGAGCTATGTCGGACGACGAAGCAGACCCCGAGTTGATTGCGCTTCTGCGCAAGACACTGGGACTGGGAGGCTCTTCTGATCCTCGAACCGCAGAGACAAAAGTGCTGGAAAATGCGCAATACGCTTTCGACAATGCTATCGACGTCGCATTAAACCCCTCCAAGACGAAAGAAGCCGCGGAGACGATATGGAACCTGATGCAGAAGAAAGAATACTCGACGCAAACATGGTCGGAGCACGAATTACACCCTAAAGCGAAAGACGAAAACACCGTCGACTTCATTTTCACCATGGATCTCCTCAACTTCAGTTTCTGGTCGGAGCTCCCTAGCGAGAAGCGCTTCGCGATTGAGTACCGAGGCAGGAAGTGGACAGGCTACTGGAGCTTGGTTGCTGCCTTGCAGAGAGCTTTGGATGAGGGTAGGTCCTTTTGCCGCATGCTAAGCAAGAGACGCGAGAATCTGACTGTTATAGACATTCCGATCACCACGCCGGAGTTTTGGACCAAGGAAGATGAATGTACTGAGGAACTTATCAAGCATGTCTTCCGCTCTGCCACCGATGAAGAGATTCCTTTGCTCCAGGAACGTCTACAGTGCCTGCGAGAGGCAGGTCGAGTTCTTTGCAGAGTATGTCCTTCGCCATTTATATTCCCCGCGCCGGATGCTAACAAATCCCCCATTTGCAGGAATATGAAGGTAGTTTTGTCAACTGCATCTACAACTCCAACTACTCTGCTGCTTCGCTAGTCAATTTGCTAGCAGAGAGCTTCTCCTGCTTCCGGGACGAGACAACCTTCCACGGGCGGAGAGTGCGAATCTACAAACGGGCTCAGATCTTGGTTGCGGACCTTTGGGCTTGCTTTAATGGTGAGGGGTATGGAGAGTTTAACGATATTGATAAAATCACCATGTTTGCAGGTAAATCTCCTGACTTCCTTCCTGCACACCTTGCCTGAAATTTGGCTCATAATTTATAGACTATCGAATCCCGCAGATGCTTCACCAACTCGGCTGTATGTCATACTCGCCGCCTCTGGAAAGCCACATACGCAGGTTGCAGCCGATCCCTAGCGGGTCCAACTGGGAGATTGAGCTTCGAGCAACCAGTATCTGGTGTGTCGAATTGATAAGAAGGGAAATCGAACGCCGACACCCAGAAACCAGGGTGAACCCGACGGTGAAGCTCAACAAAGACAAGGAGGCAGAAGAAGACGAAGACGCCGAAGATCACCAGCAGAAATGCTCAACCCAGAAATTTGTCAAGAAGGAGCCCGTCCAAAAACCCGCTGGAATGGGCGTGAACGCTATCTTGATAGATTTCTTCCTCTACGACACCATGAAAGAAATAGAGAAGACCGGACAGGAGTCCATCCCGCATCATCGGACAAGGAGTATCTGGTATTAGACTGGCGGCAAAGCATATCATCTGCGTTTGTTTTTGTCTCTATCGGCTTTTCCAACACTATACCCCGTTGCTTAACTTGGCCACGCATTGCATTCAAAGGTTGCTTTTCGGGTGGGTGATGGGTATAGACTTGCATACATTGTGATAATGATACCATAGCATTGCTTTTTAACTTTACCCTCATTTGTGGGCTTCTGTACACCATTTCTAATCATTCATTACAATCCACTGACCCGAACAAACTACAAGGTTGTTCTACACCATAGAAACCGTCATCTCACTTCAAGGGTATCTCATCTGTATTAATCTATATCATTCCAAATACTCCTAAACAGCCTGAGCCGTCCTCTCAATCTGCTCAATCCGCGCCAGCATATCCGCCTTCCACTCGAGATAATCCTCCCTGCGATCCTCACTCAACCAATCCACCCGATCCTGCATCATCGTCCCCAACCCCGGAAGCAGTCCCCGTCTGGAAGACTTGCCCGCAACCAAAGCCCCCCTCCCAGAGACCATCAACCTACCCCTACCCACATCCTCCTCGACAACCCCACCCACCAGCTCATCCCCCAAAGCGCCCTCATCGCCATCCAACTCCCCAGCCAACGGCACATTCTCAAACCACTCCTTCCCATGAGCCCACCCCTGCTCCATAACCAACGCAATCCACTGATCCACATCCTCCCGATGCCGCCTCTCCGTCGCCGGAAGGCCCAGACTAACCAGCGCGGTCTGTCGCATCTCCGAGAACGTCTTCTTATCCATCTTCTTCGCCTCCGCTGCCTCAGCACTATCATCGCCCGATGACCCCGGTTGTCGGCGACGAGCAAGCACCAGGAAATAGACAGCAACAATCAACGCATTGATGATTTCCTTGAAATCCTCATCGTTCTCTTTATCCTTGGCTAGGATAACTGGTTCGAGAAACTCCATCATCTCCTCGTCGATTTCTTCGTCGTGTTTCGCCGTCGCTTCGGATATCAAGTACAGGATGGTAGATACACCGGCGAAGATGTGAGGTGGAAGGGTTCGAGAGATAGGTGGTCGAGACCATGTGCTCATGCGCGGTGCGGGGGTTGAAAGCGTCTTGCAGACGGTCCGGATGGAAGTCATCACCCAGCTAGGGGCGTCGGCGATGATGGTTGAGCCGGAGAGGCCATTTGCGCGGAACTTGGGGATTTTCTGGGGTCGAGGTGATGGGGAGGGTCTGTCGGCGTCGGTGTGTGAGAGTGCGCGCTTGAGAGGGGTGGATTTCGTGGGTGTGTTCTGTTGGTGTAATTGTTGTTGGTGGTGTTGTTGTATCCCTCGCGGAGTAGCAGTTGCGGTGGTCTTTGATGGGGTCCTCTGCGTGCCCTTTCTTGGTGTTGAGGGTGCTGATCCGGCGCGAGAGGGTGTCCCTGGGGCGGAGGCACTTGCGCGGGCGTTTCCGGTGGAGAGGGATCGGTCAAGGAAGGCGTAGAGCTTTTTGTAGGCGCGGGGGGGACATGGAGGGTGGCCGAGGAGAGGGGGGAGTTTGAGAACGCGGGTTAATCTATTATCGTAGGGATAGTCAGACTCAATGCATATAGAAGACTGGTGTGTGAGAATGGGGAACTGCACACCTTTTGCAAGCGATTTCAGCGCACGCATACGGCCGGGCGATCTCTTCTTCAGGCTTGAGACTGCTGGAGAAGCTGCGCGATTGGGCGACGAGTGATATGGCAAGACTGAGTAGTTCTTGTGGGAGGTCTTGCGCGTGTGTAGGCAGTAGCGTGGCCAGCGCTTGCTCGACAGGCCTGTTGTTCATGGTGTTTAATAACAGTGGATTAGATGCGGTTGACGATGGTTGGTCGGAGGAAATTGGGTGTATGTAATCGCAGTATAAAACAGATGGTGTATGCTGAGAAATACTCATAAACCGTATACACCAAACCAATTGTAGAGTATATTGTGAAGTTGATGCAGGAATGGGATGTGGTTCTGCTGAATGGAATATCACGACCGTCATGTGATCTGCAGATAAATGCGCTCCGCATCGATGATCGCCGCAGCTCTCCGTCGTTCATTGCGCCAACATTTCCCATCCTACTATCATTCTACTATCAGCAGATAGCACAGACTCACACATCATGTCTGTAACAGTGAGTGCATTCCCCCAAATTACACCACCATCAGTGCCAGCAAACACAACTAACCACCAACTCCACTCCAGCTCCATACCACCCACGGCGACCTCAAAGTCGAGCTCTTCTGCGAAGCAGTCCCCAAGACAGCAGAGGTACATACTTCCCTCCCACCCCAGCGCCTCTCACTCCATATCCCCCAATGAACCCAACTAACCACCACACAGAACTTCATCGCCCTCTGCGCCAGCGGCGCATACAACAACACGCCCTTCCACCGCCTCATCCCGGGCTTCATGATCCAAGGCGGCGACATCTCGCTCAACCCGTCCCTCACCTCCTCCTCATCCAGCTCTAAACCCCCTCTCCCCTTCGAAGACATCCCCAAAGGCGGCACCTCAATCCACCACCCGCAAGCCCTAAACCAAGAAATCCACCTCCCAGCACTAAAGCACAACACGCGGGGTATCCTCTCGATGGCATCTCGCCCCGTGAAGGATCGCACAGCGCCGGGATCGCAAGGCGCCACGGGGGCAACGATAAACGGGAGCCAGTTCTTCGTGACGTTTGCGCCGGCACCGCATTTGGATGGCGCGAGTACGGTGTTTGGAAAGGTGTTGAATCTGACGGCGCAGGATGAGGGCGGGGATGTGTTGGGGAGGTTGGAGAAGGCGAATGTTAAGGTTGATAAGAAGGGGAGGGTGGTGCAGCCGAAGGAGGGAGAGGAGGGGGGGGTTGAGCCGTTGAGGATTGAGAGGGTTACGATTCATGCGAATCCGTTTGCCAAGTGAGGTGGAGGGGTATTTGTTGTTGATTGATAGGGTTTGAAGGGTTGGTTGGTATGGTCATGGCCATGGCCATGCTTTATGTCAATTGTGAGATGTGAAGACGCCATGCTTGATGCGAACTGGAAACTATATGCGGCATCAGGTGTCGCTCTTGCAATGGCTCAGCTCGCCTCACTACTTAAGGCTACCAGCGTCGCTCGATACCTCATACAATGTCCGTGATGGACTGAGGTTTGAGCTGATAGAGATGCTGGGTTGAATCAGATACAGAGCGAGGACCCTAATTGGGATCGCCAATTTACTATATTATAATGATAAATGAAACTGACAGACGGTCATCTATACATGGTTCGTATATGATATCTCTAAAAGCACACATCATCAATGAACTTTTTCTCACAACCCATGGATATCACCCCCAAACTATGAGTAACAAAAAGTGGAACACCCCACAACCACACCATATGACAATGCCAACATGCACCGGATATCTAAAAGCAAAACAAAAGAAAACAAGGCCAAACGTAAAACGTCATCGCAATGCATATATACGAAGGGGCCAAGCGTGTGAAGTTCATGCACATCGTAACAGAGACAAGACCAAGGTCATCAAAGAGAAACGCGAAAGCAGAGTCTAACGGGTATAACGGAGGTATTTATCACTGCTGCTCATCAGCAGGCTTGTTCTCCGCGTCCTGCTCGTATCCCTCCGTCTTCATGTCCTTCAGACCGAGCTCCTCTTCCTCCTCATCAGTGCGGGTGTACTCCTCCGTCTTGATCTGGGGATCAGCGGCAGGAGCACACAGGTCCTGGACGTAGCTGTTGGCCATGGGGTCCTCGAGGGTGATGACGAACTTCATCTCGCCGCTAATAGCAGCGTCGAGACGCTTGAAGAAGCGCTCCCACTTCTCCTTGTCGGAGGAGGCCATGCTGTCTCCGCCGGAGCCGGTGGTGTCGTCGATGTCATAGATCTGACCGCGCAGCTGGTCGCGGATCTCGGTGAGAAGACCCTCGACGGTGGTGAAACGACCACCCAAGGTACCGGGCTGGACGGTAACCTCGAGCTGCTCACTGTAGAGCGCGCAGGTGTCGGACTTGAGGATATCACGGGCAAGATCGGTCTCGTTCTCGACACTGAGGGTGATACGCTTGCCCTTCTCGGGGACCTCGCCACCAGTCTTAACTTCACTGGTGCGGTATCCGCAGTGTTCACAGGAGGTACCCCAGACGTACACCTCCTTGAAGTAGGGGATGTCCAATTTCTTGAAGTTGGTAAAGCACTCCTTGCTGCAGCCAGGGCATTCGGAGGGCAGACTATAAACTTTTCCTGCGATAATATCGTCCTCCTCGGCTTCGGCGGTACCTTCATGCTGCACAGCGTTGGGGTCGGCAGCGATACCAAGCTGTTCATTCTGCTCGTGGGTACGAGGGTAGTCGCGGCGCTTGTACTTCTTGACATCATCGGCGGTGGTGGGAGCAATCCAAGAGTTACCAGTAGGGTCGTCGAGGGAGACAGTGAAGGGGTATCCCTCGCGGTCGAGCATGCTCTTGAGCCTATCAATGATGGGCACGAGGGCATCGTGGAGTTCAGGGGCCTGTTCCTTGCGAAGAGGCTGCTCGCTGGAGAGAGACTCGTAAATATTCTGGATAACACCCTCGACGGTGGTCATCTGGCCGTCGGTCTTGGGCATCTCGATACCCAGAGTCTCGAGCTTGAAGATCGAGGTGTCACTGCGAATGACCTGGCGCTGCATGTCGGTCTCGTTCTCAACTTCGAGGGTGTACTTGGCGCCCTTCTCCTGGATCTGGCCGGCAGACTTGACGGAGTTGTTCTTGAAGTGGCAGTGCTCGCATTCGAACGATTCGAGGATAATGTCACGGAAGAAGGGCACACGAAGGAGCAGGAGTCTGGTGGTACCCTGTTTGCAAAGTTAGACTCGTCATCCACGACAAGAAACATTATGTATTTAGAGATCACTAAGGAAACACTTACGTTCTCGTGACAGTTGGTGCAAAGACTCTCCAAGCTCATAACACCGGTGTCATCATTGCGCTCCACCAGATCACCGGGCTTCTGGAATTGCGACTCAGGCTGAGTCTGGTTCTCGTCGGCGGACATTGTGAAGGGGGTATAAGCACTGGGTTGAAATTACAGTGAAAGAGAGGTGCTGAAAAGAATACAAAGATCAAAGGACCGTTTGCGCCAGAGAACACAGAAATGAAGGCGACAGGAAAATTTAAGCAGCAATGGCGGGAACGTTCCTTTGCATTCCACTATCGCCGTGGCGGGGCAAGTTTTTTTTTGGAGGGGCACCCGAGTATTAGTCAGCCGGGGTTATTGGGCGCCAGAAATAGCATGATTTTAAAGATAATATAGATGGATCCGCGATTGTTGCGATAATATCTTAGTGTGCTTATTAATCGTATATATTGTGGTCATGTAGACATAGACATTTCCGCAGATATCTCCTGAATTCTATGCAGGACGTTGCACACATCACACCCAACCATCGGCTAAAAGCACTGTATGCTTCCGCCCAATAACCCTGCTGTAGTTAGCCAAGCCAACTTATGGGGACTGGGGAGACTTATAAGAAAAAATTGGGCCGTTCCCCCGAAGAGGAACGGCAGGTTCACCGACTGAAAACACCCCGGACTGTTCGGCTACTATACTTCAGGCAGTACATCCATCTCCCCTTTCCTGTACGGAATCCCGAGTTTCATTGCAGTGCCACCGTGAACATCAATAGAGCGCCTTCTTTTCGTAGCTAGCTCAGCCCGATCCTGAAAGAAACACCAGCATCCAGGCAATATGGCATGGGAAACAACGCGAAATCCAAGCAGACAAGCCTAAACTTTGATCCTCGTCCAGAGGTCCTGCAGAGAATTCCCTGTACGAATCCCACAGCCCACAATGCTGGTAGATGATGCTTCGACCAAAAGCTGGTTCGATCCTGAGTGTCGTGACGGAGAGGAGAAGGGCTCGCTCGGTATGAAAGGCAGCGACTGCTGATCATCGGGCTGTTTCTGGGAGCAGTGTAGCACAGAACCCTTGGCAAGTAGTTGAGCAGTTGAGGAAAGCAATCGTCAAGTGAACGCGGTTATGGCACAGGTATGCCTCACAACCTCCGCAGGGAATTGACCCTTTACCTATCCAAGGCATCCCAGTCGAACCTTAGATCAAACGCACCATCTCCCTACATCTTTTAGGCATGTTTCCTGCGCATCAATTGACATTCCAGCGCCACTTGATCTGACTTCTTGTGTGTGATACAGTACCCCCAGGGACAGGTTTTTGTTTCCTCCCCGCAGTACGAAACATTGGGGGGCATTCAAAGCGGACAAAGAACATCCCCAAAAGCCGCTTTCTTCTCCCCAAAGGGAGGGACCACGACCGAAACCGTAGTCTGTACCAGCGCCCATCATCTATTCGCAACCTACATTGCAAAGAGACGGTTAACACGGGCGATCAGGACCTTCTATAGAAGCGCAAATCAGTGGCTGGTGCCGCGATTTGGTGCCACCTAGCCTCCGAAGTGGACGAAGTACAGGAAGTTGCAAGGTAGAAAGCAGGTACAAGGGTCCCAGGCCCCTCGAGATTGGAAGCATGTACGGGACAGCACAGGGCCCAAGACCGTGGACGACCGACAATGCCTGCATATTGAGCATCACCATTACATGCCAAGACTGATCTGGTGCCGGAATGTGACAACAAGCCAAAGGTCGGATGGCATTGCATAGAAGGCAATGACCAAGCATGTATCATCCTGCCCGACAGTGAAAATGGACCTCGCTGCAATATAATCACTACGGACGTGCCTGGACACAACCGAGAGATTATATTGGTTCTGACGAGTGGATCCATTGACATATCGGGTTGATGACAGTGTGTGGGCAGTTTGTTGTATTCGAGATGATCAATTTGCACATGTAATGAATGATGCCCGCAGTATTGCCCTCAAAAGCACGGTATTACCACCCATAGATTGCTCCCTAAGACAACTCCAAAACATAGTTGCCCGACATGCTTCACCTGCTTTCTCTCCAACTCCAGTCTTTCAGGCATAGAGTGACAATCCGTCGTGATCAACATGTAGCGCCCAGCATTGGCAAACCGACGCGTGCCCTTTTCAGGAGCTTGTAACAAACGCATGATAAGCCGTCTTTGATTGCCTCCGAGGAAGCTCTGGACATCGGATTCCTTTCATATCGTCGATCCCACCAGGGATCGAGCCCACTAATCGGTGCATCCGCCATGTAACACCGTGAAACTGATACCACCGAATGGCATCGAACTGATTGGTGTCTATTAGGGTTTAGTTCCCAAGCTTCCTCTTACCGCCTGCTCCTAGCAGAACGCGAAAGACAAAACTTGAGAAGCCGTAGGAGGGTAAGATCTGTATAGACGCCCGTAGCGGGCGGAGAGGCGAGATCAAGCGGCACTCCGGAAAGAACATTGAAAACACGTCCACACATCTTCAAAGGTATAGGGTCCAATGGAGATTTGAGCTCCTAAGAATCAACTTTGACTGAGCGTCTCGAACAAGTAGAAATCAATAACTTCAGGGAGCTGGTTGAGCTAGCCAATGTCACAGCCGCTGTGTTTGGGGAAGTAAAAGGACGGGACGGAGATGATGCGCCTCGATTCGAGCCTCGAACAGACGCGACGCGTCATCACGTGATTACCAGCCGCCTGCAAAAGGACTGGAATGTCCTCGCACCCAGTCATCCATATTTTGCATTCTCTAGTTGCTTTACAGCTAATTGATTTTGTCCTGTATTGTTTTTGCTTGGACATTACGCCTTTCCAAAGCTAGCTGTCAATGTACATATCTGAGGAACATAAGAAGCATCCTTAGTGCAGTGACTCCATGACGTCATTCAATACACCTATAGTTAACCACTTCACCCGATAGACGATAATCACCCCAATTCCGCTTCATTCCTAATGGCCACAAAGGTTTACTATACTGTGGACTTTGGTAAATTCCACGAGTGGCAAC